TGCACAGATCTACAGTCATAAGTGTGAACCCATGACCTGAGAGAAAAACCAGATATTGGATAAATTGAAAGTTGGCAGATTTTGCTTCTCATGGATGTATTTCCACGGATTGGCCATAGTTTATGGAACAGCTGAGATCTGGAGAGGGGAATTCATCCCGGGCTGTGAAATTGTCCAAAAGAAAGCTGGCCATTTCAAATTTCAAAGCGCTGGCGGCACTGCTGTTGAAGTTAGGTGGAGACTCGATGGACGAACTGAGATGGCCAAGCTAAACGACCCACTACACAGCGACGTCGACGCGGTATCCTGTCAAGAATGCTGACTCACGACCGCTTGACTCGGCGGATTCGTGTCAAAGAGTAAATCAAGATACTAGAACAAACTTTTCTGGAGTTTTTGTTTATTGCCGTGCTGTTTATAAACGATCCATCGCCAAACATTCTCCTTCTTGTCTCTATCCGTTCCGCTCACATCAACGGTGCACGGTAAATAAACAGTGTAGCCGCGGACAGAGGAGTTGGTCAGGCGGAGAGCAGACTGGTCAAACACGGCCACCGTCTGGTCAGTATTGTCCCCCACACTCACGAGATTATGATAATACAAACATCACACAAGCGCTCATCAAAAGGACCCAGCTAAATATACCCTCTTTCCCTGTCGATATCACAAAAAAGATAGGGCTAAGATTTTAAAAGGGTAACGTTTGCGCAGCCTGGGATGAAGGCTTAATTGTTACCGAGGCGACAGTGGTTTGGGCGGGAGGACGACGTCTGTCGAAATACTGCCGATGGGGTGCTGCAAGTAGGCCATATTTTCAGTGAGAGTTTGCAGAAATGCATTATTATACGCATCTTTTGCATCTACAAAGTATTCTTTATTTTTATATGACAAACACTTAAACACTCAAACACTTTAACTCCAAATTGACGACTTATTTCTACAGTCTTTCTATCACAATTCCCACTCGGGCATTTCACATCTCATTGTCAGCTTCTTTCACAAACATAATTGTACCTTATTAGATGTCAGATTTCTTATGTGGCCGACATATGAGTTTTGCTGTCTCCAAAATACCCGACACACAATGTCAACCACCGCGTCACAGATTTGGTGTGGGCATGTGGTCACCTCAATGAAAAATGAATTGAATGAAGAGAATTTTTAGTAGAACAATTCTTAGAACCCTAGGTTCAAAAGATGTGTTAATTTCATCAAAAATAGGAAGGGGGCGGAGAAGGAAAGGAGCCTGTCCGCCTGTATTCCCTCTATTTCCCTTGTACGAATAAACTTCGCGGGTATTCCTGCCAGCGTAAAACTTCAGTCCGTGCAGCTACCAAGCACAGCTATTTTCACCGTAACTGTATTCTCCGTGCAAATTTCGTGAATAGAGGGGCAATTAATCTAATTCACACTGTATATTGGTCCAATTAATCAAGACCACTCGAGGCGGGTAATAATTGCAGTTTGATCACCATAAAGGGAGATCATTTCGGTCAACACAGCCAGGTCGGTGAATGTGGACACGCGATAAGGACCGGTTATTTGCGAGGTAGAGCCCAATTTCTGATTGACGGCTGTTGCATGCAGGGAGGGGCTGAAAAGAACGTTACCCGCAATATGTCAATGTCAACAATGAAGGAAAAGAGACATTCCTTGTATATCCCGTGCATCATGCAGAACTGAATATTAAATTCATTTTTTGATGTGTAATTCCAAAAACGCGTAATTTTGAGACATGGAACGGTGAATGTTGCATAACCTCAACGCGGTTGGCAATTAGGCCTTCATTCCGTTTCACACTTTAAAGAGACTAGAAGGAGATTGGAACCTACTTTCAAATACCAGCAGATTTGACCAAATTAGATGAAAAAGGGCCACAGACAATAATACCTCCTTAATTTTGTACAAACAAAAATTGAAAACCAAAGAAATTCCCTTGACTGACGGCAATGCCGCCATCTCTCAAAGTATAACGAGTTTAAAATAAAAACTTCTCTTCCATGTCATCAATGTAGCTTTGGGCGGATATTATTCTGTTTTCTGTTGGACAGTTTTTTTCATTTTTTTTCTTTTCTCGTTGTTGCTTCTTTCGCGAGGTCACCGTGACGGTATAATGTCATTTGAAATTAACCAGGGAAATAAACTGAGTGCTTATTATTTTGGATAGTTTTGCGGGTTTTTGTTTTTAGTTTTATCAATTTGCTGAGTCTAGCTGTATGAATCGTTCAATCTGTTACATTCAGTACAGCGTCGTGTTCTCTCACTTTAATGCGGAGTCACAGATGCTGTTTTAAGTTATTTGCACATAAAAGGTTTGAAATGAATCGAGGGATAATTGAACATGACAACAATTATATCGGCCGTGAACTTCTGACTCGGCTACCGTAGGCAGCAAATCGACATATCCAGTCATCCGTGGCCGACAGGAGAGACCTACTGGCCCCAGTCCTTATCGGTACCACGGTGAGAATATGGGTGCCCGGTTTGCCGGCCGGGGCCCGCGTTCATCCCCCGGAGCACCCTATAATGACCGTTAGCTTCGTGCCCCAGGCGATGGGGTGTGCGGGTCAGCTCACCGCCCACTCACTTTGCCTGCGACGCGGTGCGTGGATTCCTGAGTCCCCGTCACGGACTTTTGCCCGCATTATAACTCAGCCTTATCAAAAATTGACCCCTTTTTGATGGGCCGGCTAGAATAATGCGGCTCCAGAATTCGATTGTTGCCATAATATTTGTAATGGTATTATACTTTTACAGTTTGACAATTAACTGTTAGCCTCACTAAGACCAAAATTGGCAGGGCAAGATTTGTGACCATAACAACACAATAAAAGACAATTAACAAGAGATTTATGCGATTTTCTACTGCGCACCCGACGTCCAGTTCTGTTTTGTTTTTTTGTTTTTTGTTTTTTTGGTGGGGGGGGGCTGATTTTCTCTCCACGTTTGAGAATAAAATGACTTGCCCTCTCTCCCTCTGCTTTCGCTGCTGGATGATATTCAGGGGTTGTGTACTTGAAAATAGTTATGAGTAAATCACTTAACAAACAAAATTTCCGAACACGAACTACGAATGTGTTAACGGATTTTTTTCTTCGAGTTTGGGACTGTCACTAGAACGACAGGCTCAAAATTCTCCTTAAACTGGACAAATTCAGTTTGTGGGAAGTGCATGGTTGATTACACCAGACGCGTTGCTTTTTATGCAAATGTTACTGCCGCGTTTGGGGCTCTCTGTATTGAATCTAAATCGAAGTCACATTAAAGAGTTGATTCGGGGCTTCTTCTAACGTCACTTGAGGAGTTTGGTATCTGCGTCTCAAGTACTGCAATCGCTTCACTTCATCAATGTAAACCAGATGGAATTGGCAAACACGTCAAGTATATTGATTGCTCGTTCGAGGGTCGGTGATCCGCAAAGCACCGTTACCTGGGTGCAAGGTTGACAATTCCCATGCATGCTTGTACAGCACACGTCGGGAGCCCACGACAACACGTAATAGTCGCATAAGGACCTGTGTAAACAGCGAACAAAAAATGTGTCATGTACATGTACAATAGCAGTTGGTCCGGAGTCATAACAGAGGGTAGGCCCTATGATGAGAGTAGGCAGGGCCCAAGATCTGTCAGGAAGGGGGGGGGTAGCGCAGCGTTTCAATTCAAGACTTTTGTTCTTAAGATTAATACTCCTTCCCAAGACAACAACCACATGGTAACTGTACGTGACAGTCATTGGTCCATTTCGAGAACTGTAGTTCGATTCTACCGGTGAATTGACTCCAGCCGGTGGGACTACGCGGCTCAAAACACAAATGGCATGCAGTTACCTCTCCCCGACCGGCGTTGCACCGGCACCTATGAGGGAAAGATGGTCCGTGAAGTCAGCCGTTTCCGCCCTGATGTGGCAGCAACAGGCTACGTGTATTCATTCTCTGGGAAGATGGTTTTAAGAATGTTTATAGGCCCGGTGAGCTGGGGTAATAATGTTTAACAGCCTGGAGCATCACTGAGTACTGATTGATGCATTGTTGGTACACGTTATTCTCTTGCATAATTACTATTAATTCCAATCCATTAAAAACAAACAAATAAACAAACAAACACAAGAGTCCATGAGTGATTTCTACAGAGGACATCGTACCATTCACCATGCATTTCATGTGACAGCCGCGGCCGACACTGAACACGACAGTAGCGCGTACCGAGAAGTCAGGGGCAACCGGGTTTACCGACGAGGCAGCGCACGGTAGGAGGTTGCTACTATGCAAGGTTAGGGCGGAGCTCATTACGTAAAATCGGTCGGCAGATTCCAAACTCCGTATCTCATCACCCCGGTACGAGGTAGTAGGGCAAACAGTCTCCTTTGTAAGCCGTGGCAGCTCGGCCACATTGTGGGGGCCTATACATGTAGCTGGAGGGAGTTCAGTCCAACCTAATTTGGCAGTATCAACTAGCATCGACAAAAATTTCAATACAGTCTGCTTTTTGTATCGTTGTATAAAAATTCATCACATCGCAGGTGAGACGATTGAAGCGAGTGACAAAGTAAAAAGGATGTATCATCAACGTGCAACTGTAACACTGACATTTCCGTGCATGTTACTTTGTGTTTTTCCTTTCCTGGATTTATACCTTACTTGGTCTTTATTAAGCGCACTTTGAGCTTCGTTGACCGCAAAGCAAACTGTTCAAAACTTGGCTGAAAATTTTGTTTGATTCTCTGGTCCAAAGATTGCTGAACTAATCCACCGTGTGTTTGTGCGGGTGCTTGTTTTTTTCAGTACTGTACAGACAAAGTAAATTTATCTGATGGAACCCGCAGTTCCACCTTCAAAGCGATCACAACTCTATAAGAGAGGTCCCCCTTTCTATTTATATGTATGTAGTTATTCTTTCTATTTTTCCAAGCCTTGAAATAAGATCAGACAGAAGCATAACCAGACATATTGCCTTGGGCACCTCTGTTTAATTTTAATCATAAAAACTTATAGCAGATGTAATCTTACAACATGATCAATTGCACACTTGATGGTCATTCGTGTAAACTTATTTTCAGACTTAAGATCCCTTCCGGCACTTCCCTAGTGATTGTCATAATGATATGACAACATCACGGTCTCCATCACAAAGTTTTTGCAGGAAAAGACATTGCGTACAAAATCATACAGGTAAACAAAAGTGTGCTTGGTGACACCTGAATAGAAACGCAATGGAAGATGTTTACGTCATGTACTTACGTCATCCGATATAGACAAGGTCCAAGGAAGCAGACGACCTTGTTGATGAACGTCATTTTCACTCAGAATTAGACATGTTTCTTACCAGTGCTACTCTGTCTTTTCACGTATTCTGAAAGATAATATCCCTTTTGATTTGCTGCATAAACCAGCAAACATTGGAATGTATAATTCACTTATATGAGAGACGACAAAAATTGTCTGTTCATTTCCCGCCATTTTGAACCGGCGCTGAACCAACTCCAACTTTTGGTTCTCGTTTGGTCGGTTCTCGTTTGGTTTCACCAATGGCCAAAGCAGGAACATGTTTATGGTCAGGATCTCAGGAACACGCCCCAGAAGGGGATAATAAGGTACAAAAATTGCTAAAGACGGTACAACCCCGTCTACCAAAGAAATTTCTAAAAGCACAGCACAATAATATTAAATCACGTTGGTACATTTTCAATCTGTGTTCGTTGCAAACTTCATAATTAGTTCAAATTTTTGAAATATTGCATTAGGCTTTGAAAATCTTAACTTTTTATGAAAGTAAAGTGATTGTAAAGGTTATCCTAGAAAATAACCTCTACTCTTTAGTAGAGATTATCTTAGAAATCAGGATGAGAAGTGACACGAAATTATTTCGAGTACAGATTCTGCGACAAAACTACAACTTTATTTGAGACTAGAATGCCCGATGTTTTCATAGGCAAGTACTTCTGTGTTTAAGTTCGTTAGTTTAATGTTAAGAGTATCTACTGCTTCAACGGTCTCTAGTTTCAAATCTAATCATTTCAATATTGCACCTCTGGGCCTTGCAAGCATTTAAAGGTGAAGTTCAAGAAAGAAGGCTGTCAATGTGAAATTCTGGCGCCCTCTGTTGACTTTGCCTGCACTTTGCAACCGAGGGTTGAAGTGTATGGTAGGGGAATTGTTCTGTAGTAAGGTGTCTCATCGGCCAGACAACTTCGACAGAGGTCGGATCGTGCGATGCGCTGGCTTCATCGCTGACAGAGCCCTGGTCGCTTCTTGCTCGCTTCTTGATGTGTGCCTGGTATGGGTGGTGGTGATGGTGGAAGATTTCGGCCATCTTGACGGGCAGGGTGGAGTGAGGGAACGGCACATCGCCAAGTAACGGGAAGGGACAGTACTTTGGAATCTGTGGCACCCAGGCAATGGGCACTCCTCGGGGGGTAGAGTAGACCATGTAGGTGCCTCTTGGATTCGTTGGCACCTTGCTTACGGGGTACTTGGGCGAAGCCATTTGCTCAGGTGATGACTGGGTCGGTGGTGTGCAAAGTTTGGATGAAACCGAACTCTGATTGCCGTGATCATTGCTTCTCTGATCGATGGGGTTTCGGTCGCTTTCCGTAAAGCCCAGTATACTATCGATACTGAACGGACCAGTAAATTTGGACCGCGGCTTATTGACAGCAGCGCCCGACTGTACTCGGCTGTTCTGCTGCTTCTGCTCGGTGGTCTCCCGTTCAGTGCTCCGAGCAATACGCTTGCGGCGCCGTCGGAAGACGCCGTCCGCGAAGGTGTACTCACTGTCCTCGTTGATAGTCCAGTAGTTGTCTTTGCCCCAGGGGCGGGCCGGGTCCCGCAAAATCTTGACGAAGCACTCATTCAGGGACAGGTTGTGGCGAACCGAGTTTCTCCAGCCGGTGTAGGGCCCCCTGAAGAAAGCGAACTTCTTCATCAGGTACTCGTTGATCTCGGCCAAAGTGAGTCTGCCCGCGGGCGAGTCGCGGATGGCCATGGCAATCAGGGCGATGTAGGAGTAGGGTGGCTTCGGGTGGCGGTGGTACGTTGGTTTCCCTTTGCCTGCCTTCGATTCGCAGTCCTTGGCTGTTGGCCCGTTCTCCTGCAGCCGGCAAGCTTCATCCAGCGCAGAAGGATCGTAGTTCAAGGCGGCGGGAGACAAGGGCGAGTCCGAGGCCGAACTGGTCCAAGTCTCAGCCGGGCTGCTGGGTGAGGAGAGATGGTGAATGTCTTCGACATTCATCTTGATGAAATGTTGATTCCAGCGAGATGACGGAAAACTGTCACGCTAGTGCATCACAAAGACGCAAGTACATCATGCCCAGTTGCTCTCAACTTGAGGACCTCTTAACGGGTGACTGAGACGGTCAGCGACAGTCAAGCTACCCAACCTTCGTAAGCGTCCTATTAAACAAAAATCCTCACCACTTGTCTCAAAAAGCCAACGGTTCGACCGCAGTTAGCACTTTGCGGGTGGCAATAACGATGTCGACGGAACTATTCCGAGGGTGGGACGCTTCGTGCTAGTTCCCGATTGCTGAGACAACGCAAAGTCAACCGCCCTCGGTCGGTCTGTCAAATTTATAAGCCTGGTGCCGGCCGACGCAAAGTTGACACAAGTAAAAGGGCCGTACCGTCACCATAATAGGGCGACTCAAGGGGGCGACCGGGTGTTTTATTCTAGTCGGCTGCAATAGGCCCTTTCGGGCTTCGTGCTATTGACTCGTGGGACATCAATCACTCCGAGGTGGCGTGACGGGGGCCAGCGGGAGCGAGGAACGGCACTGTGTTTGCTCGTCACTGGTCCCGGCCATCATGTTTTCAATAGGCCTACACACACTTGGCGAGAAAACAGTGACTGGATGAGGATAAATGAGTTATGACAGTGTATGAGGAAGAGTTAACGGGAGAACGTAGGCACGAAAGATGAAAACAGCTCTATGCAGTGACCAACTTCTAAAGTAACGAACAATGCTGTTGTCAAAAGTCCTGTGGTAGGAGAAATTGGACGCCCTCTGTTTTCACTATCACAAATGTTTCAGAATGTTTCCCCAAAATGAAACTACAATGAAAAAAAAAATGATTGTGCACATAATTTGGCTTATCTTTAACTTTTTGCAAATCAGGCAGAACCGATTCAGAAAACGGTAATTTCCCTAGCCCTGGCCAACACAGCAGATAGCCTCATAAAAGGGCGACCTGGTTGGCTTGAGGCCCAAAACGCAATCAGACCGTGAACTAACATGTTCATTTAATAGGACCCGGTACTCCAGTCACGTGATCATAACCCTGAATGGAAGTAGCGAGCATATGGTCGCTGCCGCCAAGATAACTCCAAATAGTATTTCATATTTTAGTGCAAATGTCGACACACTGCAACCACTCTTAATTAAGCAAAATTCAGAAATGGCGTCGCTTGATTGCGAGACGAGGGCAAGGTTTAACGTAGTGGTTGGATGGAGGGTGTACAAATGCTGAATGCTGTGCTCCGTTTTATTTGATACGACACGGGAACGCCTATCATTGGATATACGTGTTGCGGGTAGTCAGATCCCATAAATTGGGGGCAAAAAATAATATATTTGTCCCGGCACATTATTCCGATTCCCTGTTTCCAATTAAAAGCGATCCCCTAGGTGTCGACCGCACAAAACCATTTTGACGGTAACACAAGCAGGGGAAATGTTCGCGAATAATCTAAATGACCCCCCCCCCCCAATATCATCCTCTATCCGTACACCCCGAGCTGAAGTGCACCGATGCCAGTGGCTTTTGTAAATTTAGTCCTCCAAACAGAATTTCTACAAATGACTGTGCTTTGAAATTCAAGGTTCCCTTTGATAGAACCGATTATTTTATGAATTCATATTTTGTTTGCACTGTCAATGATTGGAATGCCATCCCAAAGCCTTTCCTCATGGGTCAACTTATGTCTTAGCCCTAGGTTTGATTACTATTCTCTCTGGAATTTCATTGTTACTGTCTTTAACTTTGTTCAAACTAATTTTATTTCTAGCCTTTTATACATTATTGTAATTGTTGCTTAACTGTTCCTCAAATATTGTCATTTTTCTGTTTTATATTGCATTCTCCAACCCCTTTAGAGCCTGATTTTATCTTCTTTTTTTACTCATTCGATTTTTACTACAATACCCAATTTTAGAAAGTTTGCAAACCGCACGTTTTTCTAGCTTTATGGAAATGTTTTTGGTTTCACTCTTAAGTTTTATTTACATACTTCATTTAATTAATCTTATTTTAATATCTCTTGCGATCGTGGGTTTTACGTTTTTATGTGACCTTTTCCACTATTCGCGACTAATGTCGAACGGAATGTTAAGTGTTTTGTAATACTTATTCGCTTAATGTATTACCTTTCACCTTTCATTGCTACAACTAGTGTTCTGTGCTCTGCAGTGTTTATTCCAATTATTTTAAACTTGACCCGTTTATTTCATTACATTTTACAATATTAGATTAGCATTCATTAATCGATTTACGTTTCAAATCGAATTAGGGCCCTTATGGGAAGCAGTTTTGTAACTGATAAGGCCACCCTGTACAAATGAAATAGTTATTATGTCAAAGCAAATAAAAATAAATAAGACGTCAAGGACGCCCTCTCGCTCAATATAAAACGTTAGGATATTCTTATCATACTATTATCACAACTTTCCAGCTATAAACCCAAACGTCACAACTGTTGAATATGCAAAGTAACAGCTGTATTCACTCGAGCACTCTTACAAATTACAAGACCGAGGCCATTCATTATCTCCACGTCTCATGTATATTTATTTAACATTAATATACAACCATCTGTGATGTCATCATACATCTATACGTGGGAGCACGACACTATATTAAGGTTTCTCTGCGACGAAAACTGGTTGGAAAGATACAGTATAAAACTTGGACTCACGGAAAACGGACTCATCTGTTGTACTGCGCATGACTAAGCGCATGCACAGAGTTATGAGCAGGGACATGCAAATAGGAAAATAGGAAAAACAGACCAGGTTACGCGCGAACCAAAATGTCAAATAACACTGGTTGTCCACATCTTGCAAATCTGGAAACTCGTATACTTCCTCACAGATAACATCGTGGCCATAACTTCAGAAATAAGCCCAACTTTACATCGAGTCTGCCATGCAAGGGAGTAACATCACGGGCAGGAAACTAAATGGGGTTTCAACGATATATATTTCTTGCCAAGGTCGGCGCATTCTGTTAGCGTTTTTCGAAATTACACGCATCCAGTTACGAAACACTGATTAACTCAAGAAATCGGCAATTTTTTTGGGGGGGGGGTTGTTTTACGAGGTCAGTCCCCTGTGTTAAGCCCCAACGCAATCTCCTCTCATTGAGTGTTTGTGCTAAATAAACACGGTTTTCAGAGAAAAGTGACTAAAAAAAGAAATCAGTACAAGACTTGTTATGACAAGTTCAATTAAGATATTAACATTATTTGCACATTTTTAAAGGATATCCATATATCTATTTCGCTCGAGTCAATGACCTGACCGGACAAAAATTCTCCACAAAAATACACTCCACAAAAATACACTATAAGTTTAAAATGCAAAAAATAACATACTTGTTTGCATTTGTTTTCTTAAACCCGGTGCAACGTTGACTGGCCGGTACCATTGTGCATATACAGTTCTCACCGAGAGTTGGGGAAAATATATTATTTTAACATGTTCTCCGGCAAAATTATGATACAAGTTATGAACAAGCGTGTAGGCCTATGCCTGTTCTGTCTAGTTCATTTGGCAATACCACATACTATTCTTTAAAATTTGCTTCCCTCAGATTGGTCAAGACCTAGCGAGGGGCGAATAACAGGATACAGGATCGATATAATCCGCTAGACCGACGACAAATAAGCGATCGTCACTTACGTAGTGGTGTCCACACACCATATCAAGTACGAAATGATTTGACAACACATCAACAACAGGTTCAAGGCTTGGTCAACGGACTAGCATAAAGTGGGCGTACATCCCTTTTCAACCTCGGCTTCCAGCCATAGCTCTTTGTGGACCTCGGGTTTATTGATTTCTGTTCGGTAAATGTGCTCGTTTTATACGACAGTATACATCGAATTTGATAGCCCTGGGCCCCTTCTCTTCAGCTGTCAAACTGTCTCTGGGACAAGAGAAGATCTGTATGGAAACTCAAGCCGGTTTAAAGCCGAGTGTTGAAAAGGGAGATCCTAAGTAGCTTTGTGTTCTCTTAGCTCCAAAGAGTGAATTCCCCCGACACTCTATTCGAGTGGACGCCACTCCCTCTGACTGAAACTGGGGACAAGACGATGGGAAGTGAAACTTATTTTCCAATTAATAAGGGTTCGCTCTAACATGGATTGGGGTGATTCCTTTTCAACCCAATTCAATTTAAATCTGTGGTGATTTTCGTTCTAAATCGTCGGGCCCCCTAGTTCCATTCTTTGGAAGCGAAAGACGTTACTGCTCGACTGACGTGAACAGCCCGGAATAATCGAGCACTCAAATCTTACCATAGAGGAAGGGCACAGTTATTTTGTATTCTTCATGCTTGGTGTACATGTGCACGAATACTTCGGCCCACACAAACTTACATACCAGCGGCACAGCAAGCGGGGGGAGGGCGTGGCCGGTAGCCAGATTATTGCTTAAAAATTCCGAGCTTGAGAACTGTAGAAGGGAGGAGACAAGGGGGAGGGAAAACAAAGAGGAAAATTAAATCGGCGCGGAAACAATCCAATCACTGCTGTTCATGATGATGCATGACGGGAAGGGGGCGTGGCCGACGGGCAGTAAAGGGAGAGGGAACTGGGAGAAAGGGGTCGCTGTCATCGTCAGATTTGACCTCTTTCTTATTTGGTTTGTATATTGGCATTCGCATGCATTTTCGTTTTAATATCCAGCTCTGGGGTTGTCTTTTTGGGGAGCAATCCAAGACATGCTACAAACAACACTGGAGCCCCGCCCCTCTTTCTTAATATCCAGATTCATTTCTACTTCAATTAAGAAGCCGTCATTGAACATTGTGGCTGAGTTCGGGCGGCTTGTTCCCGTATGTTCACGAACAGCTCGATTTTTTGTTCGTGGGTCGGTGGCTCGAACGCCGAGAACAAACAACCGGTTATTACAAGCAACATGCAACATGGAGGCGTCCATGTACGTTATACGAGAGTTAAGGTTTGGATGGGCTGAATTCTTTTCTATATAAACAGGAACATTCATTTCTGTGCTTCGGAAAATAATATTAATTTTGCAAAACTTCCCATTGTCTACATGGTCTATGGCTTTGGAAGCCATCTCTCTACTTTTTGCAGCTGTTCAAAAATCAAACCTCACGAGTTTTTCCGTGTGTTCCTGTAAAACCCTGACGAGGAGGTGGTGTGTGATCCTGTTCCCAGAACAGTGTTCTTGAGTCGTGTTCCCACCGTTCGAGCGCGAGAACAAGAAACCCGTGTCAAAAACAGGCCGCCCGAACTCGACCTATGCGTCCCCCTGAGCATTACCTACCCCAATGATTAAGGCAAACAAGGGGGCGCCACACACACAGTCCAGACATGAGCCATAGCCCGTGTCCGTGAATTACTTGGCTACGATTGGAGATGACAAATGAATCTACGGAAGCCGCTTGCTCGTGTCTTCCTTCATTTCTCATATACTCACACGTTATATTCAAGCCGAAGCCAAGTAATTTGGACGCAACACTCAGAGCTCCGACGGCTTACAGTCACACCCAAACTTTTGTACAAAGAATGGCTCACAATGCAACAGTGGTGGGAACACAAGGATGTGTATTTCCTGGCAAATTGCTCAAGCTTCACTTGGTGGCTCAAGACAAAGCACAAATCTGTAATTAACAGTCTTTACTCAGACACCAGTCACGTATGTATAGATAACCAAAACGCCAGGTCGTCAGAATGTTGTGGAAGCCAGACCTCTTTAAATTTGGGGCCGTCCATAAAATGAGTACAATTGGGTTTTGTACACCATGTGCACCTTGCTTGCGCATGGGGGGGGGCGCAAAACTTGACGAAAGGCTATAATCGTTGCTCAGGACGATATTTATCAAAGGGCTATATAGGGAAGCGAAGTTCGACGTTTTAACAGGGGAAGCTTCTGGGTTCCTCTCTCTCTCGAGACTGGCAATAAAACCGTATTTTACAGGAAAGTACATTGTATTTCCCCAGACAGTTGTAAAAAGAAAAAAAGCGCGTTCGTGTAGGGGCGTGCGTCGTCACATTTTGCATATCCATCCGTAGCAGGTCCAAAAACAACGCTGTCAATCCCCAGTTAGGTCTCATCCCTACAATGGCCACCCCCAAATGCGCATGTAAGGGGGGGGGTTCGGAACCACAGCTTGTGCCGCGCATACGGAGAACAGGTGCGTAAAACGTCGACATTCTGAGTGACGTACTTCACAGACGGCCCCTTTGTGGGCATAGAAAGATCTCGGCCGACATTTAAGCTCTTATAACAGTGAGATGCACAGGTCTATGAAACCACAAATAATATTTTAAACTTGTGTGCTGAAGTGAAACAGTGATCTGCCCGTTGGAAAGACTTGTAGCAACACACTCAATGTAAAAGAACTCCAGGAAAGAGCTCAAAATGAATTTCTCAATCCGTCCTTCCGATACTTCACCTAATCTTTTGTTTAATCTACAGAAAATCGAAAACCACGGTTTGTTGAGTTAGTTGAACTGCTTCCCATACACGAGATTCTGATAGACAAATACGTACACACAAATAAGTTGAAGTTACATGTACACGTACTTACACAGTGGATTCATCAAACATAGAAATTTAAGGCAACATACACAAGTCACACATCATAGCACCACTTGCACAAAGACACATTCAAGTGGGGAAAAGGCATGCGCATGCAAAACTTAATGCTTGAAAACACAGCACCATGCATGCAATGATTAAAGCAACTGAACTCCATGAAGCGGGCAAACAAAATATCAAAATAAACAAATCAAATCCATTTATCACAAATGAAGAATGCATATTCATTACATCGGCCAACGGCTGGAATACTATCTTACGCATCACTTCATATTTACAAAAAATGCTGCAGAGCAGCACTTTCAAAGGTAGTCACGCCAGCTTAAAATGGAAGAATCTAAATGATTAGATTGTCGATTTGATACAACTACCTGCAGTCTGGGGTGAATAAAGCTTAAGTCTAACGAGTGGTGGCGTTGCCAAACTTTACAACCTAATAAGTGGTGGCGCTATTGAACAGAGCCACTACCTCCTATTTCAACTTTTGACAACTTTGTAATCAGAAGTGATTAATGTAGAAGAAATGAATAAAGATTACAAAGTATCGTTTACCAGTTGTGTACACACTGCTTACTGTTTAAATGTCTTCATTACTAACCTGAAATTCCTAACATCCTTTATTTAGAATAATGTGCCTACATAAATGTCATTAAAAACTCCACCTAACTCAATTTGGCATACAAGTTATTTTTTATCATTGAATACAAAATTATAGTTTTTTGTAACTGATTTATTTGATTTACATAACCATAAATTCTGATTCCACTCAATTATAGATGAAATGACGAAACTCAAGATGCGATAACAATTAATTTGAAAGGAAGACGTTTCAGCAAACACAAAGCTTCAAAAACTGACATTTCATTAAATTAATATATAAAATCTAATTCTTTAACTTGATTAGCGCATCATAAAATATTTTGTATCTAATGGTAAGTGTATAACAGACAGCAGCACACGATTTGTTGCACACAATTCTGTATAACAAATAGAATTAAAATTTGTGTACACATTATCCAGTATGCTTTGAGTGAACGAAAATCGACTGTCTCTGTCTGGCAAGTTGGCTAATCTTGAAATATACAGTTGATATGTACAGGATCGTCAGGTGTTTTTTAAAAGTGCACCATTCCCTAGGAGAGGAACAGTAACAGATCTCCTGGTGGATAATAACGATGCATTCCAGTAGCAACTGAGGTTTGAAAAGTTCAATTATTAAGAACTCAGAAAAGTGACGAATTTTGATAAATGGAAAAAAAACGAGTCTTCAATCAGAAAACCAACCTGTAAACAGCTTAAAGACTTGCAAAAGGGACCATTGTTAAACTGGTGGCAATACTAAAATCTCTGGAACATCAGGGGGTTTAAAATCATGAGTATTTCGGTTCTGAATCTTGCAAATGACAAGACAGTCAAAAAGAAAATGCCTCCGTTGTGCGTATCTGCTGTCATCCAGCATCTCCAAAACGAGACCAAATCCACGGGGTCCTACACAAAGACGGGAGAGGGTGCCCCCTTGGACTTGCTAGTGACATGGAGGTCAGAGCTCTCGGCGCTTTGAGCTGGCCTGGTGGCACGAATCTTCAAGACTGCAAACCAAGCAAGGTATTAGTACACAGAGTGACAACATCCTTTTCAAGGAAACTTGACACGTGGATAGCTCACACAAGAGCGCGCGAGGAGCCAGTTCCTGGCAGTAGTATCACTGACAATCATAACAGAATTTATTACTAACGGGATTCAAATTGTCTTCATATTCCGGAATAGAGTACCGAAGAGTGACGTCACTGTGAACAAGAAAGTGCAGTGCAAACGAATGGAGTACGCACGCATGTTGGTTCACGCGCTGGTTCTCGTGCTAATGCCTTTTACACACTAAGTGTGCGCGTGACGTATTTACTTCCGTACTCTATGGTGCCATCACAACTTTGACATTTGACCCAGCATCACAACGTGACGCATAAATAGGTTCCTGTGGTACAACCTTTGCAATATGATCCTGCATGGCTGCAACTGAATAGAACAATTGCACCTGTTAAGTCACGTGACTTGTATTGCAGAGTGGGTATTCAATATCAACAAACATGCAAAGTGTTTCATAAGTATCATTCAACAAATATGAAGCCGATGGTTGGTACCGTACTCAGACTACTGATGTGCTGGGTACTCTACCTTCACTTGGCTGTATTAGTTGTAACAACACTCAAAACACACGTTGCGATGGGGTTGATATCCACTACAAGTCGCGTGATTTAGAGGGCGCAATGGGTCTATTGTTCGTAAGCGTGACTGCATGCCTTAATTATGCAATGCTTCAACACACACGGCAACACACTTTCCAACTTGTCAACACACTTTTCAACACGCAGTATTGTCATCAGACCATAATCCACGTTACTTCATGGAATAATCTCACAAACACTTGTGCCCTCTTCAAAAACATGTACCTACATGCAGTTCCAAGAAACTGCATGGCCGGCGAGACTGCCTGGCAGAAAGAAATGAACGTGCTGATCCAAAATCAGGCAAGCTGAAGTTGCAAGCGAAATAATTTACATACATGTGCATGTAGCGTTTTGGCTGGCAATCTCCATCCGTTGCCATAGGAACCCGAAAACCAAACTCTTATCTCTGTCCTCCCCCCCCCAAAAAAAAAGAGAGCCAAAGAAATGATTGGCCAGACATCATTTTTCACAGGTGACGCAGCGTGCACAGGTAGTCAACCTCTTCCGACAGTGAACATTTTGTACACCTGTGAAAATGACTGGAAAAAATGGATGATTCCTACGCAGAACATGTAGAAAATGATAAGCAGCTTAGCATAACTGCTCTTAAGCCTGTGAAAAGGACACCTTCATGTCCACAGTTTAGCGATTTGTTCGAAGCTAATAGTCTAATTCAGTATTTTAAATATCTCTCTTTCTCAAGCATCCAAACCACAGCAAGTATGTGAACCTGTACCTGGGTATGATCTTTCCATGTGTGCAATCGCTTGATTTTTGCATCAATCGGTGGATCTTATGGCACGGTTTGTTGCTAGTTCCACCATCAGCCAATTGCCATTTCCTTCTCATTCACAATTGTGGCAGATTGTTTCCAAAAAAGGAATTAAGCTTGGAGATTTCAAGGAGAATCAACCAATCAGGCAGAGTGATCGGGTTGATTGTGCAGATTGACCAATCATGCCTTACATGCACACACTTAAAAAAGTGAGAAAAGAAACTGGAATATTTTACACATGTGCATGTAGTTAAGAATTAAATACACCTGAAACTCTGCTTTACCTTTCAACCTAATGATAAAGAGTACATACATTGAAGTCCACTACATATCAAATGAATAACCGTTACATGTAACCTCTGTTTCCCCTGGTTGAAAGAATAGCTGAGAACCAAACAATTTCACAAACAATTCAAAAAGAGAAAAACTTAAATTGGTTATGTCAAGGTGGGATGAACTAAAAACAGAAAATAACTGCGGCGTACAAAGCTTAAAAAGAACAGCGGGAGACGAACAAATTAAAACAGGTTGCGAAGGCACTGCCACGGAGGGTACTAGTTTTCAAGGCACAATAGCAAAGAAAATATTATTTTTTTTAATATAAATAAATTTCTAAACAGACTTAGGTTGTAACTGTGCAAATTGTTTGGGGGGGGGCACTCCGATTGAATCATGCCACACTATTTTGCTCTCTGTGGATCAAACTAGTACATGTATAAGAAACTCACCATCAGCTATCCGACATTAAGGAGAATGATGGAAAGAGCATAGAGAGGGGTGAAAAATCAACATCTATGAAAACTGCTTGAAAAAAATGACATTACTTTTTTTAATGCTACATGAGTGATTTGTAAAGAGTGAATGATGTATTTCGTCAGACTTTTTCCCACCACGTACATGTAGAAAAGTCCATGGGCCATGTCCCCTTTGGCCTGTAAAATAAACGGATGTTTTTGGGACAGCGGAACTGAACTAAACATGGGCGGGCTACGGTAATGGCACTCAACTGTCCTCTGGAAGGAATATATCACAGTTCACATCCATTTCATATTCACAGGCAGCTTCTTTCTTAACACACCCCCGGAGGTTTGTGCATCTTGACCTACAAATGATGCTTCAAAGTCGCCAGAGAGGTCCGACTCATACATGTGTTTGACATTAAAAGTGTAGGATATGAGTAAACATGGGAACTACCGGCATATGAAGTGGGTTTCTTTCACTCTTTAAAAAACCTGATTCTGACAACCTCTCGGCTAGGGGTGGCATTTCCACTGGCCTCTCGCATTGACATGTACATGTACTTAAGGAAGATGATGGCTGAAACACCGACAGAAAATACAAAGCCACTTGCCATATTTGGAGGTAAGCAGAGTGGCCGTTTTGTTTTGTCAGTTCAATACATCTATAGAGGAACAAGCTTGAACTAATTTCCCTACAGCACAGCTTTGATACTTTGTTATCTGATTTTCCTAAAACAGCCAGCAATCAAAATCCATAAAAAAATTTTCATTAGTCAAGAAATAATAAAAAGAAATTATGAAAACAAAAAGAATTTTAAAATATTTGTGCAAACATCAAAGTCAGCAATTAATTCGTCACTTTCTTCTCTCCCAAACAGAGAAACGAAAAAAAATTTGTCGCTATGTTTTGTCAAACACAACCAGTCACGTTTTTAATTCACATGCACTCCAACCACACTCACATGCAGACTAACACAAAGCAAATAACATCCATGCATGCCAGACTTGACACTTGTGTGCCAGACACTCCATAGAGGGCGCCACTGAGAACAATCTACTCAGACTGTAGCGGCATCAGAACACTGCGAGTAAATTTCCAATTTTTGAGCAGGGCGCTGGGATGGCAGAATACATGTACCAACAAAGTGAGGCTTAAAAGTGAAAGCTAAGAGCATAAAGAGTGAGTTGAATCAATTGTGAGCAGGTTCCATTAAGGAACAATGGGCCATCTTCAATCAGCTTTGATTAGTAAAACCACTGGTTGACTTTTCCTGGCACCCAACATATAATCTATGCACAGGTCACCAAGCACAAATGTCCAGAGACTGAAAAATTGGGCACTGACCAACATTGGGCCTAGCCTGCAGGTGGTTACTTTTCTGACAAACCTTACATCTGTGCTCTAATATACAGCTAGAACATAGTCTGAGGGTTGACATTTGACATTTTGCTCCCCAAGGGACTGGAAGTTGAGGAACTTGCTCCTGAGGCAGAGCCGAAGGAATGAGGTTTTCCAAGTCCAATAAATGTACATGTATCTAGGCGAGCTAGCAAATCATATAGCAAGAATCCACAGCAAATAAACCATCTTATATTCGTTTTACCATACCTCAGGAATATTCAGTTGCCATTAAAATTTCAGTGGAAAGGGAAAGTTGGGCTTCGTATGTTCATGTGCGGTATGCATACAGTGTCGCAGGGGCTACGCTCATGCACGCACATGTACACTTAACCCATGTAACGGTTGATAGTTTGGTTCTGGCACATATTTGACTTGCGCGAAGATTCTTGAAGGTGTGCTTGGTAAACAGTAAAAATAGTGACTTGCACGTGATAGTGAATGGACCAATGAGAGTTTGGCTCTTGGTCATGAATATGTAAGAGATATGGTAATATCAAACTTCTAACATCTCACACTACGGTCGGTGGTCATCATTACTGCAACTTGAACTCCTGGCTCCCTTCTTACGTTTTGATATGTGGGACTATTGGTAACCAGCAATGTAACTATCTCTGGTGGACAAGTCAAGCAACTGTTGACTAGCTTGCATTTGAGTTAATAGGCCAATGTACTGATGACCTCATACTCTGCGTCCATGAGTGCTTTATTATGGGAGCCAGATGGGGGCGCACCATGGGAGAGAATCCAGGAAGGCAAAGCTTAATGTCATCATTCCACGAGCCCTACTGAACTATGGCACAGTTTGTGAATAACGTTGCCCTGTTCTAGGACGACAGCAACCATAAAAAGTGCACCCTCTATTGGCATCAAGCACACAAACACATTCAACAAAACTGTCTCTGTTGGTCTTCTTACCATATCCGAGGCCTTGCAAGAAGAGGCGGAAGGATTCGCACAATTTGGCCGGCTGCTCCTCAAGGATCATGCCCCCGCAGTCTGACATTTTGATCCATGTGGAGTTCTCAGGGTCCAGTCTGGCATTCATCTCAACCTAAACAAAGGAGGGAGGGTATGGATTAAGAGGAAAGGGAACTTACCTGGACCCTCCGAAACCTTCCACAGTCGATAAACCAATGGCACATTCTTTATGCTTACGCTTTTAGGGGGAACCAGTCCCTGCATAAAGTACTGGAAGAGCTGGACTGTGCCTTGCCAAATCCCACACAATGCCTTCTAATAGATTTTGAAGGATCTGGTAGGTTGAATATTAACCACTTGCCTCCGGGTTTCCGGAACTGGGCACCTTGGGTTTGTACGCATAGCCAGGGTAACCAAAATTGGACAAAGGGCTGGGCCTTGTAACAACTTGGAACAAAGGCGAACCTGCTGGGATTTGCCATAATTTTTCAGTAGGCAGTAGTAGAGGTAATCCGTCGTTGCTTTGAAATGGTGTACCACTGCTTGTGGTATTCAGTGCCAGCGGATTATCAGTGGGGACAAAAGCGCTCCAGTGATGAGTGATAAAGTACCGCTGCACGCTAATCCAGCTGCATTTTACAAGACGCCACTGGCATTCAGCAATGCACTGGGCCAATTTTGGGAACAAAGCAAATTACGCAACACCGCACAATCTGGGCTCTCTTCACTAGGCGACAGGCCTGGCTGAAATACTCAGGCGTCAATGGAGGTTGCCTGTCAGATTAGAGCAGCCACCAGACAGTCATTGGTGTGGGTGTAAACGTCTAGTGAAAGAAGTTATGAATCTGTGAACAATTTTGAGAGAGGAAAATCTTGAAAATCCCCTGGGAACTCATCCCGCACACGCAAATTCCACTTGGCAGGAAGTGGTTAATGCATCATCACTTGCTTTGGGCAAAAAATTTACATGTACTTTGACCTGACTGCAGAGGGTCCAAATGAAGACTGGTTAAAAATCACCACAAGCTGAAGGTATGGTTCCCCCTAAACAAACATCACAGCCGTCTGGGTTTTTTTTTTTTGTTCTCCTCTTTCAATGCAAGAAGCCCTTCAACCGAGGGGCACCACCTACTGTGTCATTGAGGTGAGGCGAGTTGCTCCCACCAATCAGCATGATGGCCCCCTTCAGTGTCCGCGTGGCCTTCTTCTTCACTGGATCCAACTCCCTCTTGATCTTCAGATCTGTCCGTCTGAAATGCCACAAGAATTTGGCAATGTTTTTGGTTAAGAGAAAAAAAAGAAACACGCACTCAAGTTTACAAGGAGCAGTGGAGCAGCCATGAAAGACCCTGGGGTGACTTGGGGCAGCCGGTTCATTGGCCAAGAGAGGTCAGGTCAGGGTTGCAGAATGAGCAATATCTGGGCCACAATTCAGTGTACCATCTCTTCCCTCTTGTGACCCCGGTGGGGACCCACCCCAGGAGAAACTGCACTGCCAAGCACAAGCAAGCGAACAGGGAAGCTTCCTTTGTGATCTGAGATATTTTTCGCATCTAAAACACGAGAGAAACTCAACTTCAATCAATTCCATGGCCATGCATAAAGACCAAGAAGAGTTGGCATTACCAAAATCGGGACCTATTTGACAACCTGTAAGAGAAATCTTCAATGAACACGCACTTGGTGGAAATGAGCCAGAAGTGACCAGAAACTTTCGAGTTAAAAGCAACCTTTAAGTGTCAACGATGCAGTGATAGACATCGACACATATCACCAAATATGGTCACAACTTTTTTCTCAATGGGCCAACTTGGCAAAGATTTTTTGTAATCCTCACCCCAGGCATACACCACAAGCCTGTAAACTCCCACTGGCCAGACCCCAACCACTGCCGAGTTAAAATTCTATTCTTGAAAGACCAGTCACCCCAAGGAGGCCATGTGGTCTCTATCAGGAACTGGATCTCTTTGTTGACAGACATGTGCTGACTGGCGGCTGTTTGCGTTGTGACCTGGTATTACTTGTACTTCCGCAGCAGAATGATGGAATGGGTTAGAGGGGACCTCAGGGATGCATTAGCTACCATAAAACAGTCGCACAGGTTCAGGCATGACCGGGAACTGACCCGGTGATCAGAATCTCCAAGTGGAGAAAAGAGTCTTCGTTTTGGGGCGTGGCTGCCCCCAAGGGTTAAAAGAATCTTGCACTATGTGGATCACTAGTAACTCTCCACTATTGTCAACTCTTTCCCCTAAATACATGTAATTTCCATTTTCATCAGGATAACAAAAAACCCAGTTTACTCTTTTTAATGAAACCTACATGTACATGTAAGTACTGAAAAAAAATGGCCTCACAACTGATTCACACAGATCAGGTCGCATGTTACGTAGGTGGCAGTTAATATTTCAAGAATAACATTATGCACAGGATCGGGTTACCTGATGTACGAGTCGATAAATAGCGACAGATTGTAAGGATTGACACTCTTTGCCAGGTTTTCCCGGAAGACTGTCACCAGGTCATGATTACTCTCCATTGTTTTCTGCCGAGAACAAAACAAGGTGAACAGTAGTCACGTAAACACTGCACAGGAAATCTTGTTTGTCTTTGCACTGAGTGAGTGGAAATCAATGCTTTTTGCTTGGAAACTTTGAGAAAGTTTTTGTCAAACTAATTAATAATTAGACATGGCTATACATCTCTAAAAGTGAAATGAGTTGCTCTGTCAAAACAAAGCCAATCAGAAGTAGAGCATATAGTGATTACGATCAGTGAATTTGTAAAGAAATTGGTAGAATACTGAATACTGAGAATATTGATGCTTTGGGTCATGCCCATGCATAGATTCACTTCAGTTACCTTTCCAAAGTAGTGCCAGAGAAGATACTCTTGGCTGTAGGAAGTCATTCCCTTGCCGCGAAGATAAAATGAGGAAAGCTGTCCAGGCAAGCACAGAAAAGACCAAAAAAAATGATCAACCACACTGACAATCCAATGTAGATCTGATGTATTCCTGAAACTGCTGGCAACAATTGCCTACGATTGGCTAGCCAGTAAACAAAGCCCTGCCACAGCAATCTCATTGGTCAGTTCAAATCCTTCTACCTTTTGTTGGCCCCATTCCCCCCATGTGGCTGGTTTGGAGGTGCAGTTGACGAGTACCAGTCCCTCAACCAACTGAGGATGTGCCAACTGAAATAAAAGCAAAAAAGAACACAATGATGCAGCACTGTGAATACAAGTACATCAAGTGAATCACTAAAATACAAATTTGAGACCATTTTGGCAACCAACAAGACGAAAGAGGGAGTTTAGAATATAAAGGCTGAATAAATTATGCTTTCCGAGTCCATATGGGCTTGATCGAATAGGCCCCAGATGCAAAACAGACCACTGATTTCTTCAAGTGCCCTGGCCAGTGTGTGCATGTGTCCTTGATCAATATATTGATCACACAGATCAATGCCCAGAACTGAGACACTGACTGCATTATTACACAGCATGTGGATGTTTTGCCGCACATGATGGATGTACTTCTGAGCTTTCTTCTCTTACTTTTAGTGGGGGGAAGGTTCATCATTTAATCTGAAATCTTTATTTTCTGACAAACACTCATGAGAACCAAGGATGAATCTGCCTTCTGCCCAAGTTCTTACCTCAAATCTCGCCAGAATGTTCGCTCCTGCTCCAACCCCGAAGCCAATGAACTTTTTTAACCTGTTTTGAAATGGAAAATTGTTATTGGTGAGAATCTATCAATTATCTAGGCTTTACAACTTGTTACCAAAAAAAGTAAATACCTCCAGCATGTCAAGAATCCATTTTGCCAGTAAAAGTTGAAATTTCCCCAAACACCTGAGGACTAGAATAAACCAGGGTCAGTTTCTGGATGAGCCAGAAATGACATAGTAAAATGTCATTCATTCACAAAATTATTCAAAAAATTTAAGAGAATTAGGGCCATAAGTCGACTGGAATCTACAAGAGAAAATTTAACTTCAAGTACAAAGTCAAACATTTCTGAAATAAACATTTTGCATTTTTCTTCAAGTAATTTGTGTTCCAAAAGTCCAGAGGTACCAACACTTTGCAATCCAACGGATGCTGCTCACTTTATGTTTCAGTCATGAGTGGGTCATGGTATGGATTCTGCATTAACAGCAAATGATTGGTCCAGACAAGATGGGGTCACAGGTGATATTCA